TTTGAGGAAAGTTATGTTAAAAGACATGGGTATTCCTTTGTACCATAGCAATCTCTGTCTCTTCTACAGACTGGGAACTGATGACATTCACATATATTAATGGATAAACTACTGAGTAAACTACTGAGTAAACTACTGAGTAAAAAAAAAAACAAAACCAGAGACATAATGCTGGTCCCACTACATTCAGTTGGAGTTTTATATGCAGCTCTGCCAGAATTAGGAATTTATCCTAGAGACGTCCTTTCTTTAACCCAACTCAGCCACACTAGCCAGTGTACACAAGTACATGCTTCCATATAAGCATGGCATTATTATCTTCTTCATTAGATCAACACAAACCTCYCGGCATTACTCTGGGACTATCTCAATATCCTCTTGCTAAATGCAAAGTGAGTTTAAGCAGATTTGCAGTGTGTTCTGTGTATGCTGAAATGCGGATTTTGGCAGGCTTCAGGAGAGAGGGTTCCAGAGAGAGTCTGCAGCAATGTTTTGTCCATCAAGATGTTTGAGACGGACAATAAAAGCACTCCAGGCAGTTGTAAGTTATAACCACTAGAAGATACAGGAAAAAAAGGCAGTCTCAGAGATAACTGAATCTGAGACAATGTGCTTTGGTTAGAAGATAACTCATGTCACTGCTGCTGCAGTTGGTTTTTTAAAAGTAATCTTTTTCTATTCAAGGCWGGGAAGAAAATCACTAAAACAAAAGAATGACTGGGTGAAGCTTGAAGAAGCCTCACGTGCATTCACCTTTATTTTGCTYAGAGTGCTGCAAACAGATCATAGAGTTAAAGCGGGAATGAGTACTCTCTGCTTCTCTCACCCCGTCCTCCTTGCCCACTACTCCCCCTCCCATTTCTTTCTTCCCCCCACCSTCCTCTCTCTCTGTATGTTTTGAACCTGATTCAGGCTGTGGTCTGACATTCACTGCAGAAATTGCTTTACTAGCTTAAGACAAAACTCCTGCTGGTTTAACCTCTTCCCTTGCCAAAGGTTATTGGTCCCAGAGCACTGCAAAGTTAAGTGGATTACTTCAAGCAATCTTCTGTGCTAGGCTGAACTGCCTTGGCTGRCTCTGCAATGAAGCGGGTGAGGATCACTCATCTGCCCTGCCCCACTCTGCTTGCTTTCTAGGATTCTGTGGAGAGAAGCACAAAGGTAGTGGCCCAACCATCTGTGTTATGAATCCCTGAATGTATCTTCAGTATGATCCTAAGGAAAACGTAACAATTTTAAAGTATAGTTTGTGCTAGACCCTTCATACTAAGGTCTTTTTGTGMCACTGTATTTCCACACCAATCCTAAAAGAACAGATCAGGATCTTGTTTTTAACTACCTCTATGTATCTGTCTCTGRTGAAAGAGTTTAAATCTCTCAGACCCATCTCCCATTTACTGAACTTGAAAGGGGTTTAGTTGAATAAAGATAGTATGGCTTGATCTGTATTAAAGAACTATCTTATGGTATTTCAGAACGAATAAGATAGTCACTAAAATAATCTTACAAAATTACRTATACTACATATTCCAGTGTAAAGACAGACACACAGGGAGACTGGATAGTCAGMACATGTGAGACATAGCTGTAACTTTAAATAGTGAAAATAATAGCAAAATGGTATCATAAAGTCCTGTTCTTTTCAACTTCTCAGTGTAAACCTGGGTTTGTATTCTGGCAAACCAGTAAATAGAAAGCTAGTTTTTGCAAACATTTTAAGAGCTCTATTCCATGGTCTACAACACCTGGTGTATCTCAACTCTTGGCGTAATTTAAACAAACAGGCCATGTAACACATCTCTCTCTCAGTCAAATAAAGCAGACTTGGTGTGCTGCCAATTCTGCTCTCATTTATTTGCTAACCCTGGGTTTTATTTATTCCCTGAATCATCAAACACATTGGAGAGAGTGACAGGAGCAGACAATATTACATCTAATAGCTATATAATAATGTAAATAAAATCTGGTAAATCATCAGGTACATTATTTGCCTGGKTTTAACTGCCCCACTTAATTTTGTGCACTTGAACCAAAAGTATAATAAATGAAAAAGCTTTTTGTACTGAACAAAGTTRGAAAGAATACACCCATTGGATAGYACTGATGACTTGTTATTTAGATTAAGTGAAAAATACATTTAATAAAAAAATACACCTGGATGTAATACAAAATTTCCTGCAAAATTTGCTCATTGCCATCGATGGCAAAATCTCTTCTGCCTTCAGTGACTCRAGGATCAGCCCAGAACTGCCTAGCTGTGGGATACAGTCCTGTAAACAGTAATGGCTGTGAGGTTCTGTGAAACACTGGAATGATTGCCAGTATTGAGTAAGAGTTACTGAGATGATTTCTGTGATCAGAGGGAGAGAGGAATCAAGCAGCAAAGAAGGGATGAAAGCAATGTTTTGAAGTTAAGAAGTGTGAAGGAGATCACTCTCAGTTCCCACGGGGGTGAAGAGTTCATGGCCAGCAGACCATTGTGTGGATTAGATCTGAAGAGCAAGTGTGTAGGTGAGAAAGCCTTCTGTTTGTTTGAGGCTTCTGTTTTAATGAGATTTGTCTAGCAAAGGTCTAGCTCAGCTTTACATCAGATTGATTTCCTCTTTAGAGTTGACTTAAACCACTACCAGGTGAAGCATAGGAGCTGACAGGTCAGTTACATGTCACTTCTAAAGAGAACTATTGAAAAGAGGAGTTATAATTTTTATATCTGTAGTTTGTTGTTCAAATATATTTCTGAAAACTGATTCCAGGAAGAGCAGCATGCAAATAATGAATGGAATACGTGGCCTGAAGACTTTTTTATACCATTTCTGACTATAAAGTTCACCCAACACTCACTTTCTTCTGTTTATTAGTTGGCCATTCCTGCTAGGTTAACATGGGAAGAGAAGACTCTGCAGTACTTGGGGTTGTGCCTTGATCACATAATTGGAAAAGTAAATGATTTCCCTATGATCAGACTTTGAATCTGTGCCAAAATGACTGAGCTSCATTCAAAAACCCCTTTTCATGAGCCATTTTGTGGCAATACTTGTTAAGAGATGGCAAAATACCAGGAGTAAAATGATCAGCACACCTCAGGCTGCTAATAACAACAAAATAAGCTTTTCCTACTGTGAAGCTGGCTCTTCTCTAGAGTCTTCACACTTWCATGAGCTTCCTATGTAAGAGCAASTCAGAATAGGGCCACRATATTTTTTCTTTAAAAAATGTACTTTAAGATCCYAGTTTATTTCCTGCCCTAAGGTGTAAAGAAGTGCTTAACTTTCCAGTTTGTTAATAAGTCCCAATGTCCTTTAGCATGTGTCCCTTAGAGAAAGAATGTCTGCAATATTTTGCATTTGTAAAAGAATGAATGGCAAGGCATGGTTACAGAGGCTGGAATTCAAGAATCATTGGCCTCACTACTGAAAGCCATGAATCACTGGCTTGACTGTTCCAGATCCAGCTCTGGCCACCCCTCTGTCTCCTAAACCCATCACAATATATTAATTTGTACTGCAGCTACTCACACATTGTGCAATACATTCTTTATTACTCTGTTCTACTCATGCACTGCGCTCAAAAGACACAGATTTTTCCCCAATTTTCTAAAAAGCAGSGAAGTCTGCTAGTCCTGTCAGATTTGAATCTAGTATGTATTAGAGAAAACAAATATTTCTCATYTTCAGCATTTAAATAGTCATACTGGGAAGGAGAGTACATCCCTTTATTTCTGAGGATTTCGTTCCTTCCTCTATTATGGGGCTGGGCAAAGAACATGGCCCTAAGTATTCTTCATGTGATTTATTCTACATTGACAACCACTTAAGTGGAGGCAAAGTTAGACCCAAAAGGCACAAAGTGATGAAAGCTGGAACTGAAAAATAGCATGACAGTCAAAATTGCTGAGTTTCACACAGCCCCTGCTCTAACAATGTTAGAAAACTCTTGGTCRAAAAGAATCCCAAAGAGCCTTCTGGAAACCTAATGCCATGACTCATATGATATCCTTGAAGGCTTTTTTCTTTCCCTCTACAAAATGACATAGAAAAAGGCTTGTGGACTTCACTACTTGCTGCAATTTGACAGCTTTTAGTCAAAACGTTTTCCATTTACAAGAGAAAAACTTCTTTATATCCCAACCAAAGTTGAATGCACTGGCATCTGCAAGTTAGACTGATCTGGGTTTGGTTGGGTTGTGGCTACATGGTCCCACAGAGGTGGAATGCCCCCGTGGCAGGGGATGGGAAGGGATAGGGAGGACGTGCACTACCTCAGGAAATTTGTGATGAATTAACCCTGGTGGCTCAGACACCGTTTCCCAAGGACTCCCAAGASTTCAGATGGCACCTAATGAACCAACACTTTTGTGTTTGCCTAGTTCACTRGATTGGTCAAAAGACCAATGACAAGCCAATGCCAGTGCATTACCTGCTGCAGGTGAAGCCAGGAGGAAGTGATACTGGTCACTATGTGTATTGGGACTGTTCAAAAGTAAACGGGAACAGAGGACTACCCTTTCCTTCCCAGCAGCCTCTCTATGTAGATTGGCAAAGGCCAGACRCTATTTCATCTTCCCACTGGGTTTCACTTAAGAACACAGACCTTGAATACTCATGTTCCCTCGGAGTATTGCATAGAGCTGAAAGYTAACTTAGGTGCTAAAAAGAGCATACATCACACCTATTTTTTTTTGTTTTTTATTATGAAGGTGTTGTTTTGATGATTGCTTTTCAGAGTAGAATTTCACATTAAAATGAAGAGCTAGTGAATGTCTGTATATGCTCAAAAGTGGTTTTAAGATAGCTATGGCTAATCGATTGGAACCAATCAGTCTTTTCAAGTTTGTGTGTTCAAGACCCTTTTATAATCCAAACAGTACAAAAAAGTGTTTCCAGAGTTTTCTGACTCCACTGTCAACAGCTAAGAAACAGATCAAAATATATATGCTTTCATAATCTTCTGTGTGTATGAAGGTGCAATAATAAACTGATCTTTTTTTATCTCTGGCATAGGAAATAGCATTTAGAAAAAAGTTGAAGAAGGATGAGACCAAAGGAAGAGCACAGGTAGGTGAAATTTCTACTTTATATGCACTTATACCACCAGGAAATYCTGTTGCCAGTTTTTCTTGTACTGCTTGAGAAACAGGTTTGTTTCTTTTGCTTACCTAAACCATACACCTTAAAATACAAATTGCTTTCATCTTGGCTTTATTAGTAAACCTGGGAAGAGCAGACATGTCTGGGAGGTACTAGGACAGAGTTTTGGAGGAGTGTACTAGCTCAATGACACTGTGCTCTCACTATGTTATGCAATAGCACTAAATTCCTATAAGAAAGGTGGGGGTTTTTTGCTCCTCCTCATCAGTGATTCTTTTAGTCCTCGAACCACAATCACTGATAAGCACCACAGATATCTGCAGCTTGTCAAAGATTAAGTAATTAGTCATGTAGAATTTCAAGTATGGGAGAAGTAAGAGTAAAAAGGACAGTAGCAGAAACGGGAAGGTCTTCACAACCTCAACATTAAAAATACACTGTAGATGGAAAAAAMAATTTCTTGAGGAATCTTTGTAAGTAATGTGACAATCGAAGTCATAAAATCTTTAAAAGCAATTTGAAGGTCAGTGGATTCCAGTAAATTTGACATTAGTGCTTTGAGGTTTTGAAATTAATGCACTTATTGAAACATTTTATTACCTTTTTTTTCCTAGTCAATAGATAAAGTAGAATTTTGTGCTCTACTTCTTCAAGCTGCCATTATGTCAATCAAAAAAACATCTGGCAAATAAATTTGGCAAGTAAATGAAATGCTTTTATGGTTAGTTTAGTGTCTTCCTAAAACCCCAGCACAGTCCAGGAAGCATTTTGCCTTCTCTCTTAACTAGACTTGCATCAGCCACAGGCAGTGTCTAATAATGTTTTTGCCTTGCCCTCATAATCTTWCTAGGATGCATCTTAACCCACACTGGCCTAGAAACAAATGCAGGGGGGCAGTGGTTGCTTTTAAAATTATTACCGCAACCATTTCCCTGGTGAAACATAAACACATGTTAAATAACATGACATTAATAATTGCATAAAAGGGATGTTAAAAAAATAGTTTCAGGAAAGAGAATAAACCATTAATGAATTACCGCATTAGTGAAGTAGTTTGGGCAATAGTCGAGATGTTTGTACTAAGTTGATAAATGCTGTGCAAGTAAATCACTTGCATATATCTTCTTTTCTAGCTGTAGYTCAGAGTCCTTTAGATCTCCAGAGGTTGTAGATAATTTTTGCACCCACTCAGTCAATGACTGGCAATGCGGCATGGAGCCGCAGTCATTCATTCTGTCAGTCAGCAGCCCTTGATAATGTGCCTGTCAATATAATTCAGTGCCTGTTCAAGGAAAGTGACACTTTGAATAGTGGACACTTTTCAAAAGCATTCATACAGGGTCAGTTCTATGATAAATAAATATATTTGGTGTTTGGAACAAATAGGCAATACTCAGGAGCTGGAGTCAGAGCAGAAATACACAACCAGTCTGCACAACACAATAAACTGCAATGAAGAGTGAATATCAWAAATGCATCTTTGGATTTTTGATGCTGTATTAATGATGGGATAATGGACAATGAAGTCTTCAGGTTCCTACTTGGCTTGACTGAGCCCCAATGCATGACCAGGGGCACTATGCTCTGGTACACCACAAATGAGATATTAGAATAATAGTATCAATAGTTCTTTAAACCCTATTAAAAAGGGTGAGTATTTTCATTGCTGAATGAAAAACACAKGCAGAATTCTTTAATTACCACTAACGGTGTGTTAAAGAAAGTATTTATATGGCATGCAGTGTTTAGTTTCTAGTTTCTATTAATACAGGCTGAGAATGCGAGGAAGAAATATGTGATAGTGACAGGATTTTTAATGGTACCTCACCTTAAATGCATTTTAAAATATGTAAATCAATAAAAAAATTATTTGTAATAGCAGACTAAGAGTGCTGGTTAGCCTTACTGCTGAATGAAATGTATGCTACAAGCCCTATTACCATACATCGTGGGAGCTGTAGTTAGGATTAATCTGTCAAAAGGGATGGTTTAGTGTTGATGAATATGACATGTGACCATTAATGATGTTGATTTTATCTCCTGAGATTAGCATGATTTACTTCGGATGGATAATAATGTCATTTGCTTGATGCAGTAGATCTGTTTACGAGCTGATTAAATTGTAAGGCCTTGCTTCATTTCATGCTATTTGGTTTACAGCTTCATTACTGCAATCACAAAAGCTGTGGAAATGTCCCACATCCCATGTCACAATAAATCATTGTTTAAGATTGCAGCTATGTATTTTAGCATTTCAGTTTTGCATGGACCATGCATTCCTTAACAAATATGTGATTGGGAATACATTAACAAGATATTCTGGAACATACTGCTGCAGAATGTAGAAAATCAGCCTGAATCTTTTAATTGAGATTAAGGAAGCACTTGAGTAATTAGCTGTAACAAATTACCTTATTATTTAGACAGTGAAGTAAACGTTTTTGTTGCAAGAATGATWATCRTAAATCTGCAGAAAAGTGACAGTCAAACAACCATAAAGGAAACTTGTAAGCAAACTACATTTTCTGCCCATTACCTTTTATATTTAAATAAAATTTATCAGAGACATACTCTAAAAAGAATGYATTTGTTGTTCAGGGATAGTATATGTTACAAGCTATACCATCTGTAATTACTGCACTGGGAAGACTATATGCATGTAAATCACAAAGGAAAAAAAAGAATCTGTTAATTATAATGGCAAATGCTAATGTTGCCATAGTTAAGGCTGTGTCAACGTTTTCATTATAAACCCAGTAATAAAGGAAAGAAGGAGAGAGGGAGGCTGGTAATCAGCCATCACAGACTGCTGTGTGCTAAAATTTTGTATACAAAAAGGCACACTCACACCATGTAAATCAGGTGTAYTGGGAGACCAGTCTCAGTGAGAGGAGGACTAGGGCCAAAGTCTCAGCTTGGGAGTGAGAGTGACTTTGTTGCAATAAATTTTTCACATTTCACATTAAATGATATTGCTATTTTTATTGTGCAAATTAAAAAAATAGTCCATTTATCAGTCAAATGGGGTCTTTCAGAGCTTGTGGCTTACTATCAGCTGAATTTGATAACTACAGTTGATGAAGTCTTGGTTCATGTGCTMAATTTTAATTAATTTTTTGGGGTTTTTTTAAAGAGCATTCTTAAATAATTAGCTTAAGTTGGGTATTTTATTATAATAGAATGGAATTTCTTTTCGTTGTTTTTATTCCCTCCCCCTTTTTTTTTAAATACCCCCCCAAGTTTGTTCTCAGTGGATTTCGTGGAAACATATCAGGTTTGTTTACATGTGAATTCTCTGGGTTATAATGTGGTCCAATGTGACTGTGAACTTTACAGTGGATTTGTGAACCTTTTTCCCTTACCAAAACTCCCCTCTCACCTCAAGGTATTTCAGCTGGCAGATGAAGAAGTGGGAACCCCAAGAGGAACTGTACTCCACTATATGTGTATAAATATACRTATATACAGGCCTAGAGCATCCAAGGATTTCCAAGCGTTACAGCAATGACCACAGTTAAAATTTTTTACAAATGATTCATGGCTTGGCTTGTCTCGTTGGCCAATGTCAGACATCTTGAAAAGCCAGGCCTTTTTTCTCTTTTTTTTTTTTTTCTCTTTTTTTTTTTTTTTTTTTTTTTTTTTTTTTTTTTTTTTTTTTTTTGTTTTTAATGGCTGATGCATGAAACATTCTGGAAAGGGGATTCTTTCAGATTTCATACTTTGGATTTGGAGAGAGGGAGCAACTCTAATGCTTGCAACTCATTTCTATCTGGTTCTGTTTGGGGACAGATTTACTGAGCTGAWTTAGTTTTCCAATACATTGTGGCTGCTGGGCACAGATCCTCCACCCCTGACTTTTTGCAGAACCAGTCCCTGTTGACATTTGTAAAATTAATGAAAATGTTTCACATTGAAGTGTTGATTTTTCCAGCAACATTTCAACTAATCAAATTAAAACAGTGATAAACATTTTCTCCTGTTTTCTAAATAGCTCTAGACCTGAGTTAATGAAAACATATCCTTGAAAACAGAGGAATGCATAAGTTTTTGTTTTTTTTTTTTCACGAAACAATTATTTAATTGCTGTGACGAAAAGGCAAAAAGAGGAAACCACRCTTTGAATCTTCATTGCTTCAGAAAAATTTGGCAATATACTGCATCCCTGCTTAAGTTGGCTGAAATGTTATTTCTGCAGTTTCATGGGTTTATATTTTATAACTTTGAAATTAAACAAAACAAAAGCTCCCTCTCTTGATGAGCTGCACCTTTTGAAAGCAATTTGGTTTCTAGCCAAAACGAAAATTCAAGGGCAGAATTTTTCAGGGTGCACACTCTTCCACTGATATTCCTGATGAAACAAAAGGAAAAATGTCCTTGAAAATCCCAACTTCTGGCTCCMCTAAAAGTATATAATTTTACCACTGACCTGCCAGGAATGGTTAATTTAGTGTAATTTATGCACAGAAAAAAATCCCTTGCTAGTGCTAAGAGGTGGAGAGGCTATCAGCCARGTTGATAGTAGTCTTGTGGAGAAAGACACCTTTAACCTGCATAGCTGAAGTCATCTCCTTGAACTTTAGTAACCATTGTTTCTATTAACATGGGGAAAAGCACTAAGGACATGTAATTTCTTAATTCACATACAAGTTGTCCCCAGTCTGTCCTGTACTATTCCTTAGACTCTGTGATGATTGGGGAATCTATTTAAATAAAAATAATGAATCCTGGTTGATGCTTCGAGGTTTTTCTGAACATGGTGGCAACCGTGAAACATGTATGGGCTACCTTACTAATAAAGCTGCCACCGTGGTATGAGTGAAGATACTGTGTGATCTCTATGAGTGAACCCTGAATAAACAATTTATACATTCGGAAAGTTGATGGCTGCTGGAAGATGATTCATCAATCTTCTCTGCAGATGCCTTCAAGTATAACAATTAATGAACTTGGACAAGAGAAAAAGTAAA